CCAGAAAAAATGAAAACTCTAATTCGAAAAGATACATGCACCCCAATGTTCACAGCAGTCCTATTTACAATAGCCAAGACATGGAAGCAGCCCAAGTATCCATCGACAGATGAATGGATAAAGAAGATGTGGTACATATACACAATGGAATATTACTCAGCCATAAAAAAGAATAAAATATTGCCATTTGCAGCAACATGGATGGACCTAGAGATCGTCACACTAAGTGAAGTCAGACAAAGACAAATATTATATGATATCACTTATACATGGAATCTAAAAAAATAATACAAATCAACTTATTTACAAAACAGAGACAGACATAGAAAACAAACTTATGGTTACCAAAGGGGGCAGGGGAGGAGGAGGGATAAATTAGAGGAGTTTGGGATTAACAGATACACACTAATATATATAAAATAGATAAACAGCAAGGATTTACTGCAGCATAGGGAACTATATTCAATACCTTGTAATAACCTATAATGGAAAAGAATCTGAAGCTGTACACCTGAAACTAACACAGTACTGTAAATCACCTATAGTTAAATTTAAAAAAAAAAATTGAGGAAATAATTTTCCAGTACTTGAAAACTATTACCCAATTCTGCAAAGAATCTGTTCATATGTTGGAGGAGGTCATGGAGAGGACCTGACTTCCAGTTGACCCTCGAGCTGGAACCGGGCAATGAGAGGCTCCCCACTCCCTCCCAGTCTTCGAATATATGTCCTGCCCACCATTCCCTCAGTCGGGCTTGTTTCAAGGATGCAGCCTGTACAGAGCAATGTGTTGTTGAGACCATCTGGACGGTAGACATGACTGAACCCAAAAAGGCCTCTAAATAAACTGAAGATTCTGGCTGCTGTGGGTGGGGGCGGAGAGCAACTCATCTTGCAGCCCTTCCAAGACAAGTGTTGTAAATTCTCTTGCAAATTAAACCTGCTGCCTACCAATCAGGAGTTGCCTGCCTCTTCTGCCCCTCCTTGGCCTCGGGCTATGGGGGGGGCAGTCTAGAATTCCACCTGGGTTCGAATCAATATCATGTCATCGATGGAGTGAAGTTACAATACCAACTTCCTGGTTTCACCTTCTTATTCCTCCTCAAAGGAAATAAAAATATTAACCAGCATTTATGTCAGAACTACAGAACCAAGAGTCCATCAAGTTAATCAAACTAAAGAGATTCTGCCAGAATTAATCGGTTATGTAGAATTTACAATAAAGAGTACTGCGTATTTTATTATTATTATTTGTCAAAGTGACTGCTACACATCCTTATATATAGTAAGATTTATAATGTATTATGTAACAACGTAAAATATACGTATATGTTTTGTTTTGTCCGAGATCCAATTATTAAGCGTTTACCATCACCCGGCTGTCTCTACCATCCAAAACCTATTGAGCTGAAGAAGGTGTTTAACTCTTCAAGCATTAGCTGTCTCATCTGTAAACTTGTGAACTGGGTGCCTTCCTCAGAGGACAGTTTTAGGGGTAAAATAAAATAGTGTTCATGCAAAAACCCGGTATGGATCGCAACTGTTAATTACCATCATCCATTCAGCTGTATGTTTTCTCTCCTAATACGAGCTCTTCTAAGGACTCGCAGGGTTTACAAAGATGAACAGTGTTTGATCCTTATGCTCAGGCTGCTTACGGTCTAGTAATGTGGAAATCACTAAAATAACATAAGAGGATGAAATGTGTTCTAACAGAGGAAAAAGCAACCTACCGTGCAATTAAAGGAAGAGAAGGGATTGGTCTTTACCTGGAGCACCAAGGAAGACTCCATAGAGAAGGTGGAATTCTGAGATGAGCTTTGACGAGTAACTTGCATTTCTATCAGTTGAGAAGGTGTATGTGGAAAATGCAGGCATTCGAGGCTGACACATGAAACACCAAACACGTCACCATCACAAGTATTACAACCTCAGCTCAGGAAATCATAACTACAGTGATAAATCTGCTGCATCAAAAACCCTTCCATGTTACTTCCACATAAAACAGAAAGGATTCTGCTACTATAGGTTATACAATCCAGTGTGCCCATCTACAATTCTGCATATTCAAAGGTTGACTAAATATTTATTGTTTTCCCAGCTTATAAGCCACATCCACTTCTAATAACCAAAGTGTAAATTATCCTCTGACCTTCTCTCCTTAATGAAAAAAATTCATGTTCCAGTGAATTTTCAAATTATTTTTCAAGGAAACTCTATAAAATACATCCTATTGTTAAATAGGACAAAAGGGACTGTTCCATAGATTTAAAGAAAAGTACTCACTGATTCCAGATCTATAAATATATAAATTATGCACACATTATGTAAACAATGAAGAGCACCTCTAAAGTGAGGGTTTAATGGGAGAGTAAAACACGGAGGAGAAAAGTGAAGCCTTTTAAAACATTCGTGGGTACAAGGACTAACTATTAAAGAAAGAGCATTATTTTATCCCTCAGTTAATGAGTCTTGCAAGGGTTGACATGACTTGGTCAAACTCACCGAAAACCTTTTTCCTCTTGCTAGTCAAAATATGCTAGCTAATGTTTGTGACTTTAAAAAACAACACTTGGAAGAAAGCTTTACAGAGCATCTACTGAGTCTGTATTAAGTGTAATAAAAGAGCGATGTCTATTAATCTCTCACACACAAGTCTCACACGTAAGGTCTGTGGCCTTGACCTCAAGTGACTATGAAATAGACCACAGGCCCAGTCTAGGTCCCAACAGGACATATGTGAAGATAAGCATTCGCTCCCCACTGAAAGCCCTATCGATCTCCACTCTTCCCATTCCATGCACGTCCTGGCAAGCCACTGCGCCTTCTCTCCCTGATGACAGCTGTCAGTCTGTCGCTGTCTGAACACGCAACATTTCTACAAAATCTAAAGAGAAACTGGAAGGGCAGGGGCTGAAACACTCTGTTTAAAAACACACAGCGCGACCTCCTTCCTGGAGATCCAAGACTCCTCAATCACCCGCTTTCAACCGCAGGAGGGAAGAACCGCCTCTTAACTAAGACTTGGAGCTCGCCCCGTCTCCTCGGACCTGGGCATTCCCACGCACCTTGTTACACAACGTTACTGGAAACCATCCCGAGAAGAGAGAGCCCACAAGCCCCTGTGAAACTTCAGCGGGAGTGCGGAGGTGCTAAAGCCAGCCGGCCAACCCAGGGGCTGGGAAGTCGCTCACTTCCCCGGCGCCCGGGCAGCAGCCCCTGGACCTCGTGGCGACGCCCGGCGGGGGCGCGTGAACCCCCGTGCCCGGGGCCGCGGGGAGACAGCGCCCTCCCGCAGGGCGACCCGGTGAGTGCCCGCGGCGGGGAGGGCAGTGCGAGGGGAGCGGCGGGGAGGGTGGGAGCCGGCGGAAGCGCGGAGCTCGGCCGCCCGCCCGCCCGGCGCCCGGAGCTGCGGCTCCGCGGAGGGAGCCGGCGAGGCCGGTCCCGGGGCAGGAACTCACCAGCTGCAGCGCGCAGAGGCCGATGAGCGCACAGCGCCCGGTGCAGCAGCCCATGGTGCCCGCGTTGTCCGAGCGGCGCGCGCCGCCAGAGGTCCGCGTCGTCCGGCGCCGCTGCCTCCGAACTCCTGAGCAGCCCCCGCCCGGCGCTCGCCCGGCCCGGCCCAGGCTCCACCGCCCCGCGGGCTCCGCTCGCAGCTCTCGGGGCCGGGCTCGCGCGCCGCCTTTGTTAGTTTCCCGGGCGGGCAGAGGTCAGGACGGCGAGCACGACCCGAGCGTCTGGCGAGGGTCCCTGCCGCCCGCTGTGCAGGTCTGCTTCTTTGGAAGGGGGGCGGGCCGGGCGGGCGGGGCGGGGGCGGAAGGCAGGCTACAGATGGTGAGTGGGTGGAAGTCTGTTTAGGGGAGGGGAGTGTGTAGGAGGTGGGCGTCTGAAAAGTGGAGAGGGCCGCGCGTGTGCGTGCGTGTGTGTGCGTGTGCGTGTGCGTGTGGCGGGAAGGGATGAATGGAAGGGAGTGCCGGGGGGAGGGTCGGCCTGTCTTGTTTGGACTCTGGAGAGGGAGGACGAGGAGGAGAAATTAGAATGCGAATGAATATGAATGAGCGTGAACAGGGGCGTCTGCGGGTGCTGGAGACCCTCGGCGGCGGGTGGAACTGGGGAGACCCGGGCGGGGCTTTCTCGCTGGGGGCTGTGCTGGGTGTCGGGAAGGTGGTCGAGGCGGGTGCGAAGGAGGGAACCGGGTTCGGCTGAGGTGCCCCGGAGGTAGAGACGGTGGGAGTGGAGACGGCGTGGTGCCCGTGGGAGACGGGCCCGGAGGCGAGAAGCCGAGGGCGGGCGAGCGCGGCGGAGCGCGGGCCGAGCTCCGAGACGGCGGGCTGCGAGCGCGGGCGCGTCCGCTCGGCCGGCGCTGGGCGCGCGGCTCCGGGATCCCGGGGCCAGGGTCGCCCCTGCCGCTGCGGCCGGCTGCCCGGAGGGCGCCCCTGCCGGAGTCTCAGGGGGAAAGTTGACCGAGTTGGATGGGCGAGAGGCGGGCGATGCTGCGGCGAGGAGGTGCGCCGGCCGGGAGCGCGGGGATGGAGCGGGACGCCGCGAGGAGACCTGGCGTAGTTTTCTCCACTAAAATGCTGTAGAGATTATCACCAGGCGTGAAAGGAGAGGACGCGTGGCTTTTTCTAGGAATGGAGAATGTTTCCTGGGTGAGGATAAATATGATTTCTCCCTAGAGAGAATGAAATTGTTTGGAAGGGTCTTGGAAATAAGACCTGGTCCCGGACGGTTAAGATCCAGGACAAACTCTCCATGAACCCCAAGGAGGCTCTCTTGCTCTCTCTCTCACCTAATAGATTAGAGCGGAGGAGTTCTGCGGAGGATTCAGTTTCTTCAGGCTCGGTGTCAGATTTCATGGGCACGTTTGCTGTACCTGGTGGAACAACGCACGGGGCTCGCGCACCTGGAAGGGCAGGAACAAGCCTCCCGGCCAGTTGTCTCAAGAGGTTTTCTGCGGATCTTGGCACTGAAACCCCGTTCTAACCCACTGCGGCCCTCCTGGGTCCTTAGTGGTAGGTTAGTGAGAAAAGGACAGAGATCTCTATGTTTTTAAAAATTCATTCCGTGCAGGGAAACTCTGCTCAAGGCAATCCTTCACACATTGCCGGGAGTTTGGTTTTTATTTGTTTTGAAATTAACTGGCTCTTTCTAAACCGTTCCTTCAGGACTGAGGTTTATAACTTAAAACAGAGCTCCCAGGAAAATGGTTGCATGATGTCTTTGAAATGCTAGTAGGGACACACGGAATAGTCTGAAGATTCGGGTCAATGAAGGGGTCAAGAACACGAGTTGCTAGATTCCACCTCTGTCCATTGTCTGGGAGAAGGGGACTAATAGAGGCAGAAGCCTTTTTTCCTTTTTTTTTTTTTAAACCCAACCTTTAAGACATCAGAGATCATGAGGGCATGCTTCTTTTATGCACAATAAACATAACCGTCACCATTCATGATGAATGAAAACAACAGGAAAAAATAGACCCTGACAAATAGATAATTTAGCATATAGAAAAGGACAACACAGAAAGTTCCAGGCCACTGACCCCTCTGAAAGCTGTTGGAGGCAGCTGAAGAGGGAGAGAACATGAACTAGTCTACCTACAACTTCCAGAAATGATCACAGCCTCTTCATGATCAGGGATTGTGATGAATGATGATACTAAACATAATGGCCCTTCTTTCCCTCCACATTTACATATGTTTACCCCAGTATCCTTTTTTCATCGTTTTATTTATTTTTTAGGAAGTACCAAATTTGCAGCGTCCTTGCCAGGCACCAGACTGAGTACTTTATGTGTATTCATTTATTAAACCCTCAGAACAGCCTATGAAATGGGTGCTATGAGCATCCCCAGTGCAGTGATGTGGAAATGGGAACAGGGCATCCCAGGGCTACTGAATGGAGGAAGAGGAGCTCAAAGCCAGGTCATGTGACTCAAGAGCTCCTTGAGGTGCGTGCTCACCGTACTGCCTTTAGATCTTAGGGTGCGAGTGACACCTGTTGGCACTACCTGCTCCCCACTGGGAAGCAGGCATAGTAATTTGCATTTACCCCATCTTCAGAGTCAGTGCCACTCACGTGGTGTGATTCCAGGGAACCAGGAGGGTCCTCCTATACCTTTCCCTTTCCCACTGCCCTCTCTACTGATAGACCCAGATTGGCGTTTCTTCCTTGTACAGTTAAAGACAGTTGAAAAGTGCATTTGGCTTTGAAAGAGAGGAAGAGGAAAGACTCAGAGATGGCACAGTGCTAGTAATAAGTCTAGAAAGTGTGTGAAACTACCTCTGTTTTTCTCTTCGGTCTCTCATTCCTTTTCTAAATTGAATTCCATCATGAACTAAAAATCGTCCTCCCTTCCTTCTTTGTTTCCTTTCTTCCTCAGTGCTGCCCTCAAATACTTCTTTCTTCTTTTCGTAATTGCTTATTATGTCAAAGGCTATGCTAGCTGCCAAGTTTGCAGAGCTAAGTGATATACTACCTCTCCTCCCCCAGAGGCTTGGAGGTAGGAAGGGAAAGCAGAAGGTCAATGAAGCGGGGCCCACTTGGCACTGAGTGCTATCACCAAGTGCTGTCACTAAGGGAATTACCTGTCTCTTGGGGAGGGGAGAGGAGAGGAGAAGAGAGTAGACCGTGACTGAGCAATGGAAACAGTGGGGCCCAGGGAGGATTTTGGAAAAGTTATTAATGAAGAAATAATAATCTAAGGATCAACTAATCCAATGTATGGTTGGTTGTGTCATTCCTCACTGTAGAATCTCAGACAAGTCACTTTGCTTCACTTCGAGGCCTCATTTTCCTGTGTAAAGTGGGCATGATGTATGACTTGCCCCATGGGAATAAGCCTGACAGTTCTTCTTCATCCTCCACCTACATGTGTCTTGCTCCCTCACCTCATGTCACATCCATAGAGGCCTTTGCTGACCACGCCATCTGATTTAACACCCCAGTCAGTCTATTGCATTTTCAATCAAAACATTGCTTTGTTTATAATTTCCCATCTCCGCCACTCAAAAACAATGCTGTTTCTCTAGTGCTTATAACAATAGTTCAACTCAACATTTGCTGAATTAAAAAAGATAACATGTGCACATTTTTAGCATAACACTTTGCGCACAGTATTGACTATATACGTATACACACATATATGTAGAATACAGTAAGTATGAAACATATACGTATACACAGGCAGACATACCCTAATGACATCAGAGTCTATGGGGTTTTTTCTTTCTTCTTTTTATTTCTCAGTATCTTGGTAAAATTCCTTTTGAGAAACTCCAGTCCTGTCCCCCTTAAAGTTGAGAGAGAAGCAAAATATCTATGCACAGGAAGAGTGAGATAACTGAGTTAAGAGAGTGTCCCTAGAGACCAGACTCAGAAGTGCAGATGTCTAGATTTCACAGGACTTCAAATACTAAGATTTGAGACACCAGCTTGAAGGAATTAAAGTTCCTCCTTAATTATTTCACTGCTTTTTAAAAAAAATTTTTTTGAAGACTTCCAGGTCTGCATTTTTGTTTGAATGAAATAGTGTGCAGTTTGATCAAGTGTTCTTCTATGTCCATTGAGAAAAGTTCCCAAACGTGCCACTAAATGTGTGTTTTTTGCCCTGGTGCCTGCTGATGGTGGGCCCTTCTTGGCACCTTTTTTAAGCAAGAAAATTTACATCCTCCACACATCCTCCTGCAACTAGCTTAACTTCATGAATATCTGACAGATATTGTAATGACAGGATGGCTGCTCAGTTGGAGCAAAGATAAGGTTCACTCTGGAACAAAATGTGGAGACCTACAAGTGGAGTGTGTGCATGGCGGTAAAGGCTGTGGTACATCAGTGTGCTGTCCAATGCCTGCTGAGGCCACAGTCAATTCTAGTTGAACTGATTCACTTGTTATGCATAGCAATGAATGTCCCAGAGTGTTGGGGATACGGGAGAGAGATACTTCTTGCTATTATAAGCACTTTACATCATAGTATTTAAAAGTGACCCCCCCAAAGGGCTGTTTTATTAGGAGGTAACGTGAAAAAGAAGTGGAAGATGGATAGGGGATGTAAGAGTGTTTTTAAGGACACCAGAAAGCCTGGAAGATTCGAGAATTACAAAAGGAGAAAGCGAGGAAATTTCTTTGGAATATTTTGCTTCAAGAATTATTAGTAATAGCTAGTTTTAAAATTTGAAAGGGATAGCCAAGCACCATCTTTTTAAATTTCTGTTTGGGTTAAAAACAAAGCCTCAATATTTACCTAGCACACACTTTAGTGGTCTAACAGCACTGATCTTGTGGCTACTATTATCATAATTAATATTGCAATGATATGCATGTAGAGTGTTTCTAATATCATGAACTGAGCCACCACTACTGACACCAGGAGTTCAAGCATTTCTCACTCAGTAGTTTATTGCCAAACATTGGCGACCATTGGGGATTTCTGTGCAACAAACGCTACTACACGCCTACTATGTCAGAGCCCTCATATCAGAGACACAAACACTTCCTTTACTACCATTAAAATCTGCTCCCCTGCCCTCTGCTTTTCTCAAGATTTCAGAAGATCAGATTAGACTCCTCTGCATGGTGGCTTAGCTAGACATCCAACAAAGAACGAGAGAAGGTGGCATGACTGAAAGCAAAAAAGAGAACATTAATACAAAGTCAGTGAATCCTGATGCCTCCCAACTCGGTTTTTGTATGTATGTATGTATGTATGTATGTATTATCTATCTATTGATACCTATCTATCTGTCTGTCTATTGGATTACATTGTGTTCAAAGGAAAGCAAAGATCTTTTTTCTTTTTTCTCTCGTTTTTAAACCAAGGATGTTAAAATTTTTATCCATTTCAGCACCATATGTGGAGAGAATATCTCTACAAGATGATGAACCTTTGCAGCAGATTTGTTCACATCTCTCTGGTTCCAGAATCGGTCCTATATTATTATATAATGTTTATCTGAGATGGTAACATTAAGGAAGGTATATGGAATCTCTATAATTTACTTTAACACCTTTTTTTTGTAAGTCTAATAATACTTAAAAATAAGTAGTTAAAAGTAAGAAACAATCATATAAAATATGCTACACATGTAACAGCAAGCATATGCAATACTGAACAGTGGCCCATCAGAAACGTAAAACCTAATATAAAGTGCATTAGCTCAGGCTAATATGAAGCAAACTATTTATTTATTTACTTATTTATTTATTTTTGGTATGCGGGCCTCTCACTGTTGTGGCCTCTCCCGTTGCGGAGCACAGGCTCCGGATGCGCAGGCTCAGCGGCCATGGCTCACGGGCCCAGCCGCTCCACTGCATGTGGGATCTTCCCGGACCGGGGCACAAACCCATGTCCCCTGCATCGGCAGGTGGACTCTCAACCACTGCACCACCAGGGAAGCCCAAGCAAACTATTTTTTAGGTATATATAAATGATGGATTTTTTTAATTTGTCCATGGTATTATAATATGCATATATGATCCCCCCAAAATATACCAATGTGCATAAACATACATTTGTTTTCATTTTAAAATCAGTGATACAATGATTTCAAATCACAATGAACCTGCTGCTGCTTATTCCCATGCATTTTTACTCAAGAAATCTAGAGAATTTTTAAAAACCATTAAAGACAATACAATCATATAATTTCCCTTTATATTTTTGAATGGGAAAATTAAAAAATGAAATTGATAGTAGAGAAAATGAGTAGTCCTTTGTAAAATCACTGTGATATTCCGAGGCAGTCTTGCAAATTAGAAGTGGCATTCCGGGCCAAATGGCATAGATTCCCTTTGCATTTACTAGATCCCAAAGTGCCCTCAGTAAGGCTATGGTCTCACCTGAAAGAGTTACAACTCACTACATTATACATTGTATTAAATAGTGTCCTTTGACCTCTTAGGTTTGCCTGGTATGTTTTCCATAGCGGGCTTAACAGAGCAGCGGTAAGGAACTGACAGATTTTGAATACAGTTGTAAATATAGCTCAGTTTTGAATATGTTATATATAAAAATA